AATGAAGTCTTTGACAATTTCAATCTTTTATCCACTTATCTTGTTTTTATTTGTTGGTCGAATGGAGAGGATATTTTTTTCTCTTTCCATTGAGCTTCGATCCATATGAAGGCTGTGGTCTTTGATCTTTCGTCAGTGTTTTGTATAATACTGAAAAAGTTGAAACAGCCTGAAATTCCCGCAACTAGCAAGTAGCTGTAAGTTAGACAAAACCCCATAGAGGGTAGCTATGAGTCAGAACCGACTTGATGGCACTTAACAGCAACAATTTATTCACATCCAATTACTGTCTAGGAGTCCTTGTATGGCGCTGTGGGATAATGCACTGAACTGCAAGGTCATTTTGAACTGCGAGGTTCAAATCACTAGGAAGCCCTAGAAAGGGTTGCTATGAGTCAGAACTGACTTGATGGCACTTAACAACAGCAGTTGCTGTTTAGGGTATGAACTGGTTAATGGCTCCCTTGTCATTGTTCTTGATGATAAATGTTTTCAGAATCCCCATTCAACCTTGGATCTGTTCTTTCCTTCAAGTTGATTTCAATGCACAGTGACCACATGTAACAGAATAAGCTCCACAAGGTTTTCTAGGTGGTCATTTCTAGGGGAGCAGATAGCTAGGTCTTGCTCCTGTGAAGCCACTGGGTAAATTCAAACAGCCAATCTTTCTGTTAGTCACTAAGCTCTTAGCTGTTTCCCTAACAGGGCTCCTTTGTTCCATAAATCCTACAATTTTGACTTCTACTGCATCTCAGCTATAACTTTTGGGAGGAGAGGGAGAATCAATGGACTTGACCAGAAGGTCTCCAGACTCTTATACCCAGCATTCCTTTAAATGATATCATGCTGCTTTTACCATCAGTAGGAACCCTGGTATCACAGTGGTTTGGTAGTTCAAACACATCTTGCTGTATGTGAGAAAGGTGTGGCAGTCAGCTTCCTTGTGTCAGAAGTGACTTGACTGCAGTGGGCTTAGTTTTCTGAGTGGAGATCACTAGGTCCTTGTGGTTTTGTTGTTGCTGTTATTATCTGAAGGTGGAGATTCCTGGGGAGAAGAATCATTGACAAAAACCATTAACAGCCTTTAGAAATGACACTACAAAATGTCATTCAAAACAAGTATAAAGGTTAATGACATCTTGTTTTGAGCAGTTTTTCAAGACATTATAGGATTAAATAGATGCTACAGTGACATGTTGTTGTCCATGACAAGACAAAATAACTAGCCAAAGCTATTTAGGAATCTAGAAGATATATGCAAAAAGATCCTATTAACCAACAAGCAACAATGTGTTTCAGGTTATGTGCACAAAATACACCTACATACCCCCAAACAGTGGGTCCTTTTTCTCTAGGTGAGTATTCAGTACCATAATCAAAGCCACTGAATACTTAATTAGGACAGGTCAGGAATTGGCAGAGAGCATATATTAAGTAATTGGGGTAGGGTGCTTTTTTTAATGGCGACATTGATGGAGTCATATGTTTTCCTAGGAATTAATACTCAGAAGGCAAGTTCAGATGTGCCAGGGCATCTTGAGACAAAGGCTTAATACTCATCTTGGATGGTGGTGTCTCTTTAGTAACCATGGTGAAGTTGGATGAGCTTAAACACTACATGTTGGAAATGCCTTAAGAATGAGTCAATAATGAATCTCTTGCCTTTGGTGAAATGGTGCAGAAATATGTCAAAGTTATATTGGAAATCTATGCTTGATGGACTCAGTCACAGAAGTTTCAGCTACAGTTAATCAAAGAAAATAAGTAAACCGAAGTTCTTCATTAAAAAACAACACACACACAATTTAAAAGCACACAATAAATATAAAGGCCAATGACTCTCAAGAGTAACTCAGGTTTCTTAATGGGATTGTGTAACCAAAATCCTCTGGTTTCTCAGTTATAACCGCATCCAAGGGTTATGTGCAAAACTCTTCAGTACTTAGAGGTGAATAGGATATGTGTAGATTCTGTGAGTTCATTGTTAACCATTCTAATAAGGTATGATTCTTCTAATAGGGAGAAACTAATTTACTGCCTTAATATCCCTTGGCAACTTCTGGATATCAGGAAAGCTCTCATTTTTCTTCACTCATCCAACCCCCAACTCTCTGCTCTCAAGTTCCCTTTGCTGATAGAAGATGGGAAAAGCAGAAGGCTTTATTATACCTTTTACTAAGATGGTGGCTTCTGCAGAAGGGAGAAAGACCTCTAATTTTGTGTACTCTCTGTGGTGTCTTTAGGAGTCCCTGGGTGGTGCAATGCAGGTGCTCAGCTGCTGACCATAAAAGGGTTAAGTTTCAAGTCCAATCTTGAGGCACTTTTGCAAAAAACACCCAGGGATCTACTTCTGAAGTCACCCATTGAAAACCCTACGGACCATAATTGTATTGATACACACCTGGGCCATCATGAATTGGAATCGACTCAGCAGCAACTGGATTTCCTGGTGATGGCTTCATTAGTGGATGCATTTACTAGTATTCTTCTCTTCCCAATCCAGGCCTTTGAGCATAAGAAGAGGGTCTTTCTACTGCTAGCTATATAGGTGGTGGTAGTGATGTACCATGGAGTTGGTCCTAACTCACAGCAACCCTGTACAGGGTTTCCGAGGCTGTAAATCTTTACAGGAGCAGAAAGCCTCATCTTTCTCCTGTGGAACAGCTGGTAGTTTCGAACTGCTGACCTTAAGGTTCGCAGCCTGATTCATAACCACTATGCTACCAGAGCTCCTTATACACATGGGTATTAACTGCCTGTTACATTCAAAGCAAAAAAAGTATAAACTGTATCTTTAAAAAATAGAACTTAGGTGGGAATTTGATGGTTTCCATTTTATTGATCATAAAACATAAGTAGAACAAAAGATTATTCTTCATTCTCAACTTTTACATGGAAAAACTCCACATGAATCCAGCTGAGAGTCTCCCTTGCTCTCTATATCTTCCCGATTGCAAGGAGAGGATTCAGCATCAGATGCAGTCTCAGTTTCTTGGTGCTGCTGTGACAGAAACACTACAAGTAGATGGCTTTAATGAAGAGAATTTTTTTTTGTTGTTGTTGCAGTTTGGGGGACTAGAAGCCCAAATTCAAGGGGAAAGATCTTTGCCTCCTCCAGCTTCTGGGTCTGGGTTCCTTTGGGACAGTCATGTGACAGCTGTCTTCCCTATTTGCCCTTCCTTCTGTGCTCCTAATCTGCTTCTTTTGTATCTTACAAGGGACTGATTTAAGACACACGCAACACTGATTGCTGTTAAGTGCTGTCCAGTCAGTTCCGACTCACAACAAACCTGTTTAGAAATGTTGAGGAGCAGCTGGTGGGTTTGAATCACAGACCTTTCAGTTAGCGGTACAGTGCTTACCCTTCAGTGTCTCCCCAGGACTTCTCAACACTAAGTGTTGTTGTTACAGGCTGTCAAGTCAGTTCCAATTCAGACAAAGAAGACAAAACAAATACACCAAAATCTGCGAATATTAGGGAGAACAATCTACTACTATTCTGTATTCACTTCCATTTTCACTGTAAGTTAAAACAAAAATCTTAAAAACAAACGAAACAGGTTGAGTTGTAATTCCAGTGTAAGAATAATACTTGTTAGATTTGCCTGAAGAGAAACTAAAGCTTTCCCAAACTTCAATTAAATTACTTTCTTTTGGAAGGGTTGGGGGTGGGGGTGGTATCAAACTCCTGTATGGATTAAAGGCAAATTACTTAAATGCTTTATTTGTAAGTTTCATAAAATGTTTCCCTTTTCCGTAACAAGAAGCCGAGTTTCTGCTTTGTCCCATCCATTTGTAGCAGTTTTTAGTTTTTATCCTTGGAAGCAGCGCCCCCTGCTGTAATATACATTTAATTGCAAAAAGCTGGTTTGCTCGCAAATGAAAAATTTAAGAAAGATACTGTTAAAGTGAAAAAGACTTTTTATTTTTAATAATATATGTAACATTTATTCCACTTGATATTCATAGTGCATAGCTATGTATGGAAGTATACAGGGCAAAAATAAACATCAATGCTTTAAGTAGACCCTCATACAGAGGAAGAGGGGAAGTCCATATACACATGAACAGACTTATAAGCATAGGGCAGTAGCCATGGAAGAGAAGACAAAACATGCAAAACACTCTCTCCAAACCATGCCAGGCAAGTGCAATCAGGACATGATGCAAAAGTACACATGCTCTTTGGATTAAAAACAATATAAATGAGTGGCTTAGCTTTTATGTCTACGCCAAAACCATCTATAGAGTAAAAAATATGGATTTTGTTATGCCATATGTGGTAATAAAATAGTCAAGGCCTCAGATGGAGATCACCAGCTTGGAAAAAGGTTTGTGTCTCAGAGGTACTATAAGCACTGGACTGCCAACCACAGGGTGTCCAGTGGTTCTAGACCACCAGATGCTCCACAGGAGATAAATGAGGCTTTCCGCTCCTGCAAAGACGTACAGCTTTGAAAAACCTATACGAGGTCACTATGAGCAGGAATAGACTAGACAGCACTTAATAACAGGGAAAGTTTTTTTAAAAATGAGAAATGCAGTATAGAAATGATACCTCCGCCTAAATCAAAAACTAGCTTTACAATGAGCAGAGCTGGACAAACTACGCTGCATTTCCATGTTCACGGTCAGCAGGAATTCACAATGCTGTCACCAAGTTCCATGGGAAAGATGAGGCAATGAATGCTGAGTTTCTGTGTGAGCGAGAGCTCAATGTCCTTTTCATCTTACATATGAAGGAAGAGAGAATACAGAAGGAGACTTGGTCACCTTCCCACACATGACACTACTTTTTAAGTGTTTCATTTACACTGGTTTGGCACAAGGGAGAAGGGATATAAAGATTAAGTACTTAAAATCAAGCTCCCAATTAAAATCTCTTACAGATAGACCTAGAGAGAGATAAAATTCTCTGCCTTAGTTTTTAATCAAATTCTTAAAAGCAGATTTTAAAACTTAAAAGGAAAGATATTGAACAAAATCTGATTTCTTTTAGGGTTTCTTTTCTTTTTCCATTTATTTCTTCAAATTGAATTTTGTAGTAGATAGAAATGTAGACCACTTGGGGTAACTATGGATCAATATTGTTTGGTACTCTCCTAAGACATCCTCTTCTTACACTCCACAGAACAGAAAACCATCCCTTCGACCGGCATGAACTTCTGCCCAATGAGGCACTTGCTGCAGCAGGAACACAGAAAGCACTCTGTTGAGGCATGCCAGCTGAAATTGTTGTAGGTCACCCGCTGCACCTCGGGATCAATGGCATTGTGGCATCCTTGGCACACCTGTTGAGAATGCAAATAAGAAAGGAGGATGAGAGATTAAACCATGATGTGACATTTTTATTTTTGAACAAACTAAACATATTTCTTCAGATGGTGAATGGACGTGAATTCACAACTAAGAGAGCCCCCTATTTGTAACTCGGTTAAGTCAGCCACTGTTGATGGAGGTGTATACATTCAGCCATTATCTGCCTATTGGTTGTTATACTATTGTATTTTGCATGTTGCTGGGATGCTGGACGCTATGCCACTGGTATTTCTAATGTCAGCAGTGTCACACATGGACACAGGTTTCAGCAGAGCTTCCAGCCTAAGACAGACTAGAAGGAGGGTGATCAGGCAAAACACTTCTGAAAATCAGTCTATGAAACTATTACGTATTACAGTACAATATGTCAGATACACATTAACATCTATTAATATTTGGAACATGGAATATACAAAGTATGAATCTAGAAAAATTGGAAGTTGTCAAAAATGAAATGTAACACATAAAGATCAACATCCTAGGCATTAGTGAGCTGAAATGGACTGATTTGGGGCATTTTGAATCTGACAACTAAATGGATTACTATGCCGGGAATGACAAACTGAAGAGGAATGGCCTCACATTCATGTTTAAAAGGAACATTTCAAGATCTGCCTTGAAGTATAATGCTGTCTGTGATAGGAATGATATCTGTAGCTCTATAAAGAAGGCCAGTTAATACCACTATTATTCAAATTTACACACCAAGCACTAAAGTCATTGATGATGAAATTGAAGAAGTCTACCAATTTCTTCGGAGTCTTGGAATGACACTGTAGGATAAGCACTGGACTACTAACCATAAGGTTTGTAGTTCAAACCCACCAGTCACTTCTTGGAAACCCTATACAGGGTCGCTTTGAGTCAGAACTGACTTCATGGCACATAAAACAACAACAACCAATTTCTTTAGCACACAATAGATCAAACATGCAATCAAGATGCATTAATTACTGGTTATTAGAATGTAAAGGTTGGAAACAAAGAAGAAGGATCAGTAGTTAGAAAATATGGCTTTGGTGATTGAAATGATGCTGAGAATCACATGATAGAATTTTGCAAGACCAATGACTTATTCATTGCAAAAACCGTCTTTAAAAACATCAAAGACAACTATACACATGGACATCACCAGGTGAAATACACAGGAATAAAATTGACTACATCTGTGAGAAGAGATAGTGGAAAAGTTCAACATCATCAGTTCAAACAAGGCCAAGAGCCAAATGTGAAACTGACCATCAATTGTTCATATATGCAAGTTCAGGCTGAAACCAAAGAAAATTAAAGCAAGTCCACAAGAGCCAAAAGATGACCTTGAATATATCCCACCTGAATTAGAGACCATCTCAGAATAGATTTGATGCATTAGACACTAATGATCAAAGACCAGAAGAGTTGTGGGATGATATAGAGACAGGAAAGAATGAACAGACCAAAATGGATGTCAGAAGAAACTTGTTCTTGACTGTAGAGATGCTACAGCGACTGGAAGAAATGAGGAAGTCAAAGATTGAACAGAACATTTCAAAAGACAGTCCGAGATGACAAAGTTAAGTATTATAATGAAATGTGATAAGTTTGCAATATTGAAGGAGTCTATGGATAAAGTATTGAATGATGAGGAACCATCAAAAGAAGATGGAAGGAATACACAAGAATCACTATACCAAAAAGAAAAGGTCAATGTTCAGTCATTTCAAGATGTAGCATATAATCAAGAACTGATGGTTCTGAAGGAAGAAACACAAACTGTACTGAAGACATTGGCCAAAACAAGGCTTCAGGAATTGATGCAACACAAACTGAAATCTCGCAATGAAATGATGTGGCACTGCTCACGCCTCTATGTCAAGAACTTTGGAAGAACCCTATCTGGCCAACTAATTGGAAGAGATCCATTTTTGTGCCCGTCCCAAAGAATGAAATGTGGAAATCAGTGAACACTTCAATATTCACATGCAAGTCAAATTTTGCTTAAGAAAATTAAAAACAGATGTAACAATACACCAACAGGGAACTGCCAGAAATTCAAGTGGACTCAGAAGAGGACATGGCCCTACAGATATTATTGCTGACATCAGATGAATCTTGGCTGAAAGCAGACAGTGTCAGAAAATGTTTACTTGTGCTTTATTCATTACGTAAAGGCTTTTGATTTTATAGATAATAACAAACTACTGATAACATTACAAGAAATGGGTATTCCCGAATACTTTATTGTGCCCACAAGGAACCTCTCCAAAGACCAAGAGGCAATTGTTGGAAGAGAACAAGGGGATACGAAATGGTTTAAAATCAGAAAAAGTGTATGCCAAGATTGTATCCTTTCGTTCTACTTATTCAATCTGTATGTTGAGCAAATAATCTGAGAAGCTGGAATTTATGAAGAAGTATCATTTACATCAGGATTGGAAGATATATCATTTACAACCTGTGATATGTAGATGATATAACCTTGCTTACTGCGAGTGAAGAGAACGTAAAATATTTATTGATGAAGATCAAAGACTATGTAACCTTCAGTTTGGATTTCATCTCAATATAAAGAAAACATAAATCCTCATAAGTAGAAAAATAAATATTATTGTGATAAATGGAGAAAAGATTGAAGTTGTCAAAGGCTTCATTTTGCTTGGATCCACAATTAACACTCAAGGAAGCAGAAGTCATGAAATCAAGACATATTGCATCAGGCAAATCTGCTGCAAAAGACATCGTTAAAGTGTTAAAGAACCAAGATACCAGTTTGAGGACAAGGTATGCCTGATCCAAAAGCCATGATACTTTCAATCACCTCATATGTATGTGAAAGTTGAACAATGAATAAGGAAGACCACAGAAGAATTGATGCATTTGAATTATGTTGTCGGAGAAGAATATTAAAAGTACCAAGGACTGCCAGAAGGACAAACAAATGTGCTTTGGAAGAAATACAACCAGGATGCTTCTTAGAAACCAGTATAGCAAAACTTTGTCTCTCATACTTCAGACATGCTATTTGGATGGACCAGTCCCTGGAGAAAGGACATCATGCTTGGTAAAGACAGGAAAACCTCCAAAAGATGGGTTGACATAACACATAAGTTACTCCACTTGATAGTGTTCCACTTAAATAAATTTAAGGCTTTCTTCAGATTTTTTTTGTTCTTTTTTTCTGATTGTTCTTTTAGTAGATGAATATTGAGAGATTTTTCTTTAAACTCAGTAATTCTGCCTTCCATTGATTTAATTCTTCTTTTTTGTCTTTTCAGTGTATTATCTATTTCTGAAGTCTTAGGGGTAATCTAATTTTATATGATACCCATTTTTTTTTTTCATTTATTTTGTCAGTTTGTTTCCTTAAATTTTCTATAGTTTTTTTCTATATTTTCCTTGATTTCATCTGAAGCTTTCTTGATCATTCTCTCAATCTGTTGAATTATTAGAGCATCTAACTACTCTGCCATTTTACCCCAGAAGCCAAATTGTATTGTCTTATAATTCCATGTTTCCACAAAATTTCTCAAGTCCCTTTGTAGCTACAATATGTTGTTGTTAGGTGTTGTCAAGTCAGTTCCGATTCACAAAGACCCTGTTTCCAAGGGTGTGAATTTTTTTCCCGTGAAGCAGCAGATAGGTATGAACTGCTAATCTTGTGGTTAGCAAACCAGTGCTTATTCTACAGCGCCACCAGGGCTCCTTCACACCCAGATCCCTATGCATAAATGCATACTCCTTCCAGACTCCTATGCACATCCGAAAGTAAACATCTACAAACATCATTTTCTTCTTAGTTGAAAATGTATACAAAGAAAATAAATGAGTATCTCTTTATAGCATAGCAAAAAACTAACCAAAGTACTGGGTAGCCCAAATGTCTTCTACTTTGCACATTTTCCATTTTAAGTTTTATAACAAACAAAGTAACCAAAAATGTCCATTAATAGATGACAGTGACTAATGTTGCTGTCTTATGGGGATTGTCAGGAATTAGGGAGTCCTGATGGGGTGCTGTGGGTTAATGCGCTAGACGCAAAGTCGGTTTGAACGGCAAGGTTTGTGGTTCAAGCTCACCAGTCGCTCCCTGGAAACCCTTTATAGGGTCGTTATGGGTTAGAACCGACTCTATGGCACTTAACAACAACAACAACATGGAGAAATGATTGTGGGAATGGGTGGGCTGAGCGTAGTTTAGTTTGAGCCTCCTTACTTGAAAAGACCTCCAAATGTGGCTGCTACTCATGGAGAAATGAGTTAGGTAGTAAAAGTGAAGTCTTGTTAGCTACTTCAGGCCTGTACTATATGTTTCATATTTTCTATTCGCCACTACTTCTAATAAGAAATTACAGTTGATTAATTCACACATTATGTCAACCTAATCTTCCTTGAGAAACAAGGAAGCTATTCTGATTGTATTATCACTGCTATGGATTGAACTGTGTCCCCCAAAGTTTGCGTTGTTAACCCTAACCCTCGTACCTATGGTGGAGTCCTGGTGTAGCACTGTGGGCTAATGCACTGGACTGCAAGTTTGCTTGACTGCAACATCAGTGGTTAAAGCTCTCCAGTCATTCCTTGGAAACCCATACAGAATTGCTATGGGTTGGAACAGACTCGATGGCACTTAACAACAACAACAACATACCTATGGTGGAGTCTTGGTGTGGTGCTGTGGGTTAATGTGCTGGGCTGAAAAGTCAGTTTGAACTGCAAGATCAGTGGTTCAAGTCTACCAGCTGCTCCTCAGAAATCTATACAGGGTCACTATGACTCATAACTGACTATGGTAGTGGTGGTGGTGGTGTGCCGTGGAGTCAGTTCCTCCTCATAGTAACCCTACATGGGGCTTCCTAGGTTGTAAATTGTTACTGGAGCAGAAAACCTCATCTTTCTCCTGTGGAACGGCTGGTAGTTTTGAACTGCTGACTTTGAGATTCGCAGCCCAACTCATAACCACTACGCTACCTATGGCGAATATGGCAAAACATTTGAATTATGGTGTTGGTGAAGAATATTGAAAGTACCATGGACCACCAGAAGAACAAGCAGATTTGTCTTGGAAAAAGTACAGCCTGAATGCTCCTTAGAGGTGAGGTTCACATTCACTGGGGACCAGTGCCTGGAAAAGGACATCCTGCTGGGTAGAGGGTCCATTAAAGAGAGGACTGACACAGTGAGTCCAACGATGGCCTTACCCGGAACAACTGTGAGGACTGAGGACGGGCAGGGCTGAGTGTGTTGTGCATAATGGAGTCTAACAGCAACAGTAGCAATTTACCTGTGGCTAAAACTGCCTTTGAGAAGGAGATGTCTTTGTTATGTTAATGACACTGTTTTAGTGCAGGGGTGTCTCAAGTCAAATTTTTTTTTTTTGAGACCTAAAAGGTTAAGCAAGCCTGAAGAGAGGGAAGATGCAAGCCACAAGGTGGCAAAGAACTGAGGAATAGAAGCTGAAATAAACCAAGGACCGTCCCCCAGAGCTCTCAGAGAGAGGGTGGTATTTTATTTTTTAAAGTGGAAATTTTATTATCAAGTAGCACTACTAATGCTCAGTATAAACTGCTCCAATAGAAATGCTGGCGTGGGTCATAGTCAATGCACTGTACTGGTTGTGAACTGCCTGGACTTTGAACACTCTCTGGATAGGAATCACTCGTCTACTACATGAGAGAAGGGCTTTCAGTTTCCCACTGGTGCGAAGCTTACAGAGGCACAAACTCAAGTCCTAGGTAGATGAAGGCACCCGAATCTCACCACAGCATGATTCTTCACATAGCATGGCTTGCACACAGGCTTGTCATGGACCATCACGTAGATCTCCCCAGCTAGGATGTTGTCACAGTCAAAGCAGCAGAAGTGTTTCAGATGCCAATTTTGGTTTTCAGCCTGGGTATATTCATTGCTGAATATGAGCTAGAAAGAGGATACAAATAAGATGAGCCACTTATAGTTTTGGGGACTCTAAGTGACAAAGAGAGGTTCTACAGGCAATAAGCAGTTTAAACCCACAAGTATATCAGGATACTTTTTGCGGGTCTGAATTTTGAAACTGATAACCTAATGTTGCAAGTTAGGTCCATCATTCAGCTTAGTACAAATCTATCTTTGGTGTTTCTGGTCAGTCTCTCTTCAGTCAACATAAGTAACACTGATACTTAGAATGAAGGAAATTAAAAGTTCCTTTCATTAAACTTCTTAGGACATAAATAAGGCAACTGATGTTTACCCAGTTCAAGTTGTTGTCTTTTTAAGGCTGGCCTGGTGTCGATGTCAAGGGGACCACATGGTGGTGTAGCCCCCGAGAACTTACCTCATCGCAGCCAGCACAGCGGGGTTTCTCACTGTCACAGTAATGCCTGCCACAGTACAGATTCTCATTTTTCCAGAAATAGATCATGTCCACCAGGAGTTCACTGCAGGCACTGCAGACAAAGCAAGCTGGGTGCCAGAGTTTATCGTATCCAGCCCTCTCTGCATAGACAGCCGGGTCGCCTTCCTTCATATTCAGTTTGCAGTGGTAGCAGGCCTGAAAGGGAAGCCATCCAAAGTCAGATCCTCAACAACTCACATTTCTAATGATAACCTTCAGTAGGCAGACAGACAACTTTCCAGAGAAATTATTTCTGCTGCAATTACTAACCTATCCATGAAGACCTTACAATGCTTGTATGTCTGTAGAACAGAATCTCTTGGCTGTCTCCCAGCTGTTCACATCTAACTCAGTGCAAGAAGTAGCACTTTCTGGAAAAGGGTGAATAGTATTTTTTATTTCACTTTTAAGTGTTCTTTCAAAAAATGATCACTTTCGAGCTTATTAGTACTCTTTTCAGTGGACTAAGCCTTATTGATGTGCTCACTTAATATCTGAGAAATACATGACAGTAAGCTTAGTATTTTTTGTTGTTGTTCAACTGAGTCACGATTGTTTTCTATCTCCAAGCTACAGCAAAACACTTCAAGTTCTGATAGAAACTTGAAAAAAAAAAAAAAGATGGACTTTAAATATCCCCATTAATTTAAAGATGGATTTTAGGCACAGTCTCTCAAGCAGAAGCAAATCAATCTAAGCATATATTACTCTTAATTTATGAGAAGAGATAAACAATGAACACCAAAATCATGCTTAGCAAAGATTCTACACTAGCATGTTATATTCCAGCCAAATGCCCACTACTGTGTATACACAACACTCTCAATCATCCTCGGCAACAGATAATCAGATACCTTGGCTTTAGACAGAAGTTTAAATGTGACAATTCTCTCAAACCAGCCTAAACTGAATTTTAATTCAATTTATTTATTTCAACTCCCTTTCAGAAACAGAGGAACGGCCCCAAAATATGCCACACCAGGACTCCGAGAAAGGGAAGAACCTGTAAAATGCACAAATCGGGCATTGAAGTGACCCCTCACTTACATACTGTGTCCTTTTGTGCTCGGCCGACTTGGCCTCCATGGCCCCCACAGCTGCTGCGGTGCTTCTATCCCCGCCTGGGATGTATGTTCTGTTGGGGCCATGTGCCTCCATCTCTTGAGGAAGTTTGACATCTCCTACTCCTAGAGCCTCGTTCTTGTATTTCTTCACGAACTGCTCCATCTCCTTCACCTCTTTGGGTGTCAACTCGTGGCACTTGGAAGGGTCCTGATCGTGAGCAGGGAGCTGCTTTGCCAGCTGTTTCTTTCGGTACTGAGCCCCTTCGGAACCCGCCACGGGCTGTTTCTCCTTGGGTAGCATCTGCATATACTGTCTGGCCTAGATCATGGAAGAGTCATGTTAACGTGGGAGATGCCTTGGCTATCAGACAGTGAAATGTTTTATAACACACATCAGCACCAAGTTACTTATAATGACGCCAGTTTTATCTATCAGTGACGATTACTGTTCATAATATAAACACCCTGAGGTGCTAGCACATTCAAACATGGCACACTAAATGGATTTGTTTCGGTTAAAATGAACATAATATACAATCAAGGCTTAATTCAAATTGTAAACAGATTTGGGTTACTGTTGTGTACTTGCCCTAAATATACAAATGTATAATTACAAGAAAACACAAATTTTCAGGCACAAATGTTTAAAATGACCTTATGAATCATCAGCATTTTTAACACTATTAAAAAATACACCAATTGATTTGCTACCATGTTTTAGATACCTTCCCTAAGAGACATCCAAAGCCCTGTTTAGTTGTTACAGTCATGGGAGGAACTTGACACAAAAGACACATCTTTGTCTTGTAAAATCAAGTATTGAACATTTTTTCAGCTCTAAACAATGGCAGAAATTGTATCCTTTAGACATTCTTTACCATCTTATAAAGATAAACCTTCTCCAAAGGAATTTGTAAGAGTCACTAGATTTATGCAAAACATTTGTTTTAATCTATTATTAAAAATGTCAAACCCTGCTCACAAAGAGGTGAGCATGTCTCAGTAGTCAGGAAAATTTTATGATTGCTGATTCTTACTCTCCAAAGACTGGAGTCAGCAAGTCAAAGTCATGGGAACTCCAGAAAGTGAACAGACCTGGGGCGTGTGATACTGACTAGCTCCCTAAAGGAATCGCTCTGCCTCAGCAGCTCAGGAACTTTAAGTGGACCCTCTCACCCTTTATTTACCAGTGCCTGATTCTGGACAGGAGGGGCCCATTCATAGGTGACTGTGTTGATGCAGACATTCTTCTTGGCAGCAACTGGATTGGTCAGTATCATCACATTGCGCTTATACATGGGAATTCCATCAGACTTTAGCTTTGCAATCAGGGTAGTATACTTGGTGTCTTCAAAAAGTTTCCCCACTTTTCGATCCTCTTCATTGCTTAAGAGAACATCATGTTCTTCTTGGCCGCATTTGCAGTTACGACATATTTTTCTGTAATTTGGAGATGAAGATTAACTGTATCTAATCAATAATTAAGTTTGTTTACACCTTTATAGTACAGACACCTTTTACACATGTTCTACATATAATGTACAGAGAATGGTGGCTCTGTAGGATAAGCACTGGACTGTGACCACAAGGTCAGAAGTTCAGACCCACAAGCTACTTTCACCTATGGAAGAAAGATGAGGCTTTCTGCTCCTGTAAAAACTTACAGACCAGAAAGTGCTATGAGTTGGAACCAACTCAGTGGCACTTAACAACAACAATAAACATACTTTATGCATAAGCAAGTCTTTTTTGAGTCTTAGTGCAAAGTTAAGGTGCTCTGGTAGCATAGTGGTTATGAATTGGGCTCCTAACCTCAAGGTCAGCAGTTTGAAACTACCATTCGACACTACTAGCTGTTTGTGGGAGCAAGATGAGGCTTTCTGCTCCCATAAAGGTGTGTAGCCTCGGAAACCCTATACAGGGTTGCTATGAGTTAGAACCAACTCCACGGCAAACTACCACCACCATCACCAGTGCAAAGTTGGTTTGAGCCACAAGGTCAGCAGTTGAAACTCACCAGCTGATCCTTTGAAACACTATCCAGGGTTGCTATGGATCGGAACTGACTCAACGGCATTTAATCACAACAACAGTGGTGTAGTGGGTTGATGCATTGGCCTTATGTGTTGGTCTGATAACTTCAGGGTCAGCAGTGTGAATGCATCAGCTGCTCTGCAGGAGAAAGGTGAGGCGTTCTGTTCCTATATAGACTTCCAGCCTTTGGAAGCCTATACAGACAGGATCACTACTAGTCAGAACTGACTTGATAGCAGTGCTTTGAGTTTTCAGTTATAAGCAGCTATCCAGAAATTTCAACAAGAAAGAAACACAAAAATTTACCTCAAATTTATAAGATTTCTGAAAAGTCACATTGTGATTAAAAAGTGTTTGCTTAAGGGGACAAGTCTAAGTCGCACTCCCATTCTCCCAGAAAAAATACAAAACACGAAAAACCCCAAAACTATTACAGCCTGAGATTTCACTTGGTGCTACATGGTAGAAGTTCAGAGCCATTATCACAAGTTTGCTTTGTGTTTTTTTTAAATGGAAGATAGAAAGATGGATAAAGCTTTTCCAGTTACAGATCATAAGTCTAGATTTGGGATTGTAATCTTTCTCCTTTCCTTTCCTTTCTTTTTCTTTCCCTCCATACTGTTCTTTCACTGTTTCAGACACTTATTATCTACCTACCAGGTGCTCTGCTATGAAGGAAAAGACAGACAACAGAGCCTCGGCCCTCATGGCATTTCTTACTGTTCAAGGCCACTGCCTCCTTCCCCAACTGAGACTATCCAATAGCAAAGAAGCAGTCCTTAGGTAAAATATACAACTTAAAACAACAGGAAAAAAAAAAAAAATCAGGGCCTTCCACTTAATAAAACTATCAACTCAGAAAATACTTGCATAAACATAAAGCTAACAAATAATGAGAAGTGTACATATAAAGAAATAAAGATAAACTCTATAGAAAAATAACTTTAAAAAGTTTGAAATTATATCTTATAAAATATGAAACATACATGGCCAAACATCATAAAAAACCATTCTTAATCACCATAGTAATCCAGGAGGGGCAAATTACAACCACAGTAAGATACAATTTTACATCCAGAAGATTGGTAAATAAATAGAAAATATCAAATACTTGCAAGAAAGGAGATCTGAGATTCTCCCAAATAGCTAAAAAAGAGTATAAATAAACCCCACATCTTTAAAAAAAGATAAGAAAAATTCATAAATAAATATCTTTGCCAAATAACAAATAATTACAAATGTTTGTGTTCTGAGTTCTTGGAAGGTAAAATATACAAACTGAAAACATGAATTTGACTTTTTAGTCCCAGAGAGAAAGAGCACGCGCGAGTCTGATTTAGCTTCCTGTGTACACGCCGAGACTCTGCTGAAAAGCCGGCCGTCTATTGTAGTGCTGCTAGAAGGGATTCTTTCTTCCATCTGCTTATCTCATACTCCCATCTAGTGGAAAGTGCACACTATCCTGCACAGTGAGCGCTTCATTCTGGTACTTCCGTTCACACTAACAGTCTAGTTATTTACAGAACAACGACCACATTGTTTTTTAAAATATTCAGTTTAAAACTACACCTTCCTAGAATCTCCACTGAGTAGTATCCAATCTGTCTAGGCGGGACTGATGAAAGGAGATGGGGATAGCGCTCATGTGGTACAATAGTGAATAATTAATACCAGGACTGACTGTGAGGGTTGGAAATGTAAAGGTAGATGTTTTGTAGCAAAAGGAAGGAAGTGGTTGACTTTGCAGGCGAGGAGTGGAGACTCCTGAGACAATCAAGGGAGAAGAGTGGAGTGCAGGACCCTACCTGGAGAAACAGTAACACCAGAGATGGAGGTAGAGATGATGACGTGGAGAGATGGAGCAGCTGGAGCAGCTGGGGACTCTAGACCCAGAGAGGGAGAGGGGCTGTGTGCTGATGACCAGGGGGCAGGCTTGCGGGGTATACCCTTTGGTTGGTTGATGATGCACGGAGAGGACTGTAACCATGGCAATGAAACGATATACAATAGGATGAATGTAAAGCTAATGTTCTCCCATGTAAACTATCATATAATTCATAATAAAACAGTTTTTTAAAAAACTACACCTTCCTAAGGAGGAAAAACAGTTTAGTTCTTAATAGAGGGAAAGAGGTCTTGGTGTTCCCATGAACTAAGTCAGACACTGTAATAGTTAGCACCGGGGTTGACTAAAGAATGAAGAAAGCAATGCTACAATGGTATTTGATGTTCATGGACTTCCTTTGGAAATGTTTACTACGCAGTTCTACACCAGCACAACATGTAGACCACAGAATAGGGAGGGTGGAAGTTTAGAATTTGAAAGAAAAACAGTAAAGAATACAGGAAACAGTGAAAAAGTATAATGAATTATGAGCTGGGCTGCTAACTGCAAAGTCAATAGTTCGACTCTACTAGTCAGTCCAAGGGTGAAAGATGAGGCTTTCTGCTCCCACAAAAATTTACAGCCTCGGAAACCCTATACAGGCTCGCTATGAGTCGGAATCTACGCGATGGCACTTAATAACAACAATAACTTTCTAAAACATGAACAGTGACTGTGAAAAATGTTACACATAATAAATTACTGTACTAGCCAATGATAGAAGAGTCATCACCATAATTTTGTTTGTTGTTATTTGCCTTGGCCATTCTTAGCAGGATTCAGAACCTGAGGAAAACTTTGTTTCCCTATCTATCCCTTTTGTCTGTCTGTCTACCTCCCAACATGCCTTTATTGTGTAAAATCAGGTTAAAACTATATACCAATAGCGGCAATGATGAAGGGAAAAGATACCCAGAGCTAAAGATGTTCCACTGTCTGCTTTTACAGATGTTTTACTACCTACTATGCTCTACTATCACTTTCCAAAGTTGAGGAAATCTATGATACTTTTTACAAATACTAATTACAAGCTTCATCTACTGCATACTTGCTTCAATGTGATGCATTTAGTAACAAAGCACTTGGTAAGCATGAGACTCAAGAATGTGACAGCTAGAGTTAACATCCCTGGGGCAGCTGGACATCTTCTCTAGACTTCATGTGCTAAAGCTTCATTTGTACAATGCAGTTAGGTGCCATTGAGTCATAGTGACCCTATGCATAACAACACAAAACACTTACAAATGCTGTGTTTGAGCCCATTGTTGCTGTATCAGTCTATCTGACTGGGAGTCTTCCTCTTTGGTAAAGTGACTGATTCACTTTACCAAACATGATGTCTTTCTCCATGGACTGGTCCCTCCTGACCACATGCCCAAAGTACAGAGACGGAGTCTCACCATGCTCGCTTTGTGCTTCTGGAAGTTAGTGGAATTTTCTGTATTCTTCCCCAACACCATTATTCAAATGTACTGTGTCTACTGCAGTCTTCTTTATTCATTGTTTCAGCTTTCACATGAATATGAGGCAACTGGAAATATCATGATGTGGGTCAGGCACACCTTGGTCTTCCAAGTGACCTCTGGTCTTTACCACTTCAGCAGTAGATTTTCCCAATGCAGTTAAGTCCTTTGATTTCTTCACTGCCTCTATGAGTACTGATTGTAGATCCAAGCAGAATGCAGTCTTTGAAAAATTGAAACTTTTCTCCATTTATTTTAATGTTGATTATTGGCCCTGTTATGAAGATTTTTATTTTCTTTACAGTGAAGTACAATCCTTCATGCTGAAGGCTGTAGACTTTAATCTTCATCAGTGAATATTTAGACTCTTCATTGTTAGCAAGCAAGGTTGTGTCATCTGTATATCACAGGTTAATGAGTCTTCCTGCAATCCTGATGTCACATTCTTCTTGATATAATCCAGCTTTTCAGATTACTTGCTCAGCATACAGACTGAATAAGTATGGTGAAATAATACCTTTCCTAATTTTATACCTGGTTTACACCTTTCCTAATTTTAAACCATTCGATATCCCCTTGTTCTGTTTGAACAATTGCCTCTTGGTCTTTGTGCAGGTTCCTTACATTCACAATGAAGTGTTCTGGAATTCCCATTCTTTGCAACATTAGCCATAGTTTGCCATGATCCACACATAGTTTGTCATGATCCACACATAGTTTGT